AGGTGATGAGGTCGGGCTGGTTGGGGAGTGGTGGGGCTGGTTGGTGGTTGGTTGGGGCTGGTCGGTGGGTGGTGGGGCTGGTGGTGGTGGTCGGGACAAGATGTCGGCTGGGTTGAGTTTTCCGGGGCGGTAGATAATCTGAAGTGAGGGTACGAACTGCTCCAAAAACTCAGCCCATCGGGCTTGGCGGCGGCTGAGCACGGGCTGTGTTTTCAAGTGTTGAAGAGGGCGGTGGTCGGTGTAGACGGTGACGGGTTGCAGCTCCACGTAACAGCGCCATGTCTTGATTGCGTGGACAATGGCAAGGAGCTCTCGATCGTGTGTTGCATAGTTGCGCTCTGCCGGTTGAAGCTTGCGTGACTCAAAAGCGAGTGGCTGCATCCCATGGCCGTGGTCTTGGCAAAGAATGGCACCAACAGCGACATCGGAAGCATCGGTCCATATGAAGTATGGGCGTGAAGGGTCGGCGACGGTGAGGACTGGTGCAGAGGTGAGTGCTGATTTGATTGAGTTGAAAGCGGTCTGCGGTGGTAGTCCCCATTGAAAGGCAGCTCCTTGACGGAAGAGATCGATCAAAGGGGCGCAGATGTGAGAGAAGTTGAAAATGAATTTCCGGTAATACTTGGCGAGGCCGATGAAACTTTGCAGCTCCGCTACCGTGCATGGGGCTGGCCAATCAGCAAGGCACTGAACCTTTGCGGGGTCCATAGCAATGCCCTTGGAGCTGATGACATGGCTGAGAAAGCCGATGCTTGAACGGGCGAAGGTGCACTTGGAGAGCTTGGCGTAGAGGCGGTGTTGGCGAAGCGCGTCGAGGACGATGCGTAGTTGCTGAGCGTGTTCCTCGAGTGACTTGCTGAAAATGAGGATGTCATCGAGGAACACGATGACAAAGCGGTCGAGGAAGGGCCGAAAAATGTCATTCATGAGTCCCATGAACGTGGCTGGTGCGTTGGTGAGGCCGAACGGAAGTACTCGGAACTCGAAGTGGCCGTAGCGGGTGCGAAACGCCGTCTTGTTGACGTCGTCTTCGGCGAGGCGAATCTGATGGTAACCGGAGCGTAGGTCGAGCTTGCTGAAAACCGTTGCTTCCCCAAGCATGTCGAACAACTCCTCGACACGGGGCAGCGGGTACTTATTCTTGATAGTGATGGCGTTGAGGGCGCGGTAGTCGATGCAGAGGCGCAGGTCACCTTCCTTCTTGCGAGTGAAAAGCACGGGGGCAGCGTATGGTGAGGTGCTGGGGCAGATGAAACCCTTCTTAAGAAGGTCGTCGAGTTGCCGTCGTAGTTCCAAAAGTTCAGCGGTGCTCATGCGATAGGTTGGGCGCACGGGCGGTGTAGAACATGGAATGAGGCGGATGCTATGGTCAATGGCACGCTTGGGTGGAAGTTCGGCGGGTAGATCATCGGGAAACACATCCGTATAACCGTTGAGCAGATTCTGTATGGTTGGGGGCAGAGAAGTAGCTGATGCTTCAGATTCGGAAGCCGTGACGATGAGTAGGAGATGATGAGGAGGAGGTGGTGAAGGAGGGGTGGGGCCTGGTGGGTTGATAACTTCAGAGGCGGGGCGGATGATGGGACGTCGGGGCTGCTGCTGGGTTGGGTGGTGTGGAGAAGGAGGAGGTGTGTTGATCACTTGGGGGGAGCCGGGTGGTGTTGGCTGCTGCGCGGGAGCTATGCGAGGAGGAGGGAGAGGGGGGATATGGGAAGATGGAGATGGGGCAGGTTGGGGTGGATGGGTTGATGAAGCTGAACTGGTTGGGGATGACCATGGTCGGCGAAAGGAGTGGGATGGAAGGTCGTAGTTGCCGGCGGTGACAGTTCCGTTGTGCCAATAAATCCGCGGTCCAAACTGGTGCAACCATGGCCGACCGATAACGCCTTCGTACCCCTCGAGGTGCAGTTGCTCGAACGTGACCGTCGCCTCTAGACTTCCAAACATGCAATGCACGGGGAGGAGGGTAGGTCCGCAGCGCCGCCGGGTACCATCTGCCATGATCACGTCCTGCAGGTTGCTGTTGGGATCTTCAGGGAGAGAAAGTTCAGCAGCAATTGAGGGAGAGAGAAAATTAGCAGAAGCGCCGGTATCGAGCAGAAAGTCAACGTAGCGATTCTTTATTTTTGCGTATAGAATGATGGCGGGGAATGGAGCGTTTGATGTGGTGTAGAGTTCAGAGGTGCCGATGAATAATGGGGTCGGTAGAAGCGGGGCATGTGACGCGCCAGAGGTCTGCCCCACTGCTACTGGCGCTGTCCGTTTCCCCGTCCTTCGTTTGGGCTGCGACGATTCGGGCAGTTACGCTTGATGTGCCCAATCTTCCCGCATTGGTAGCACATGACGTTTGAAGCATTTCGCGGCTGCCTCTCCATCATTCCCAGCTCCATGGGTGTAGGACCATTTGCACGAGCAGTTGGAGCGTGTTTCGTGTGACCCATCATGCCGTTGAAGCGTTGGAATGCAGCGAAGTTGATCGTGTCGAAGCGTTCCGCCACACGGATCATATCGTCCATCGACGTACATCCGCGAAGCTCCACTTCGGTGCGAATTTTTGGTTTCAGCCCGCGCTTGAACTTGTCCATCTGCTCGGAGGCAGGGATGTCGGGAATCTCCAGCACCAACTCCCGGAAGCGGTTGACGTATTCGGCTACGGAGCGGTGTTGGCGTAGTGCAGCGAGGTTGTCTCGAGCGCGTTCAATCGCGTTGACAGGTTCGAAGTCCATGGTGAGCGATGCTGAAAAATCTTCCTAGGTTGAAATTGTAGCGTGGCAGCTCTGCCACCAAGTAGCAGCAGCACCTCGCAACATCATGCCAGCGTGGCGCGCCCATTCGGCTTGGTTCACGTAGCACAGGGAAAGGTACTCCTCCATTTGGAAGAGCCACCTTCGCACAGGTAAGTCTCGTTTTCCAGGGACAAACGGCTCAGGTTCAGGTGCTTTCAGACGTGCAGAGACCACAGCATGTGCTGGCGCCGGCACCTTTGTGCCCAGGAGTCCACGTTCCTGGAGTTCGCCGAGGATCCGGTCACGCACCTCGCGTTCAATTTCTCGGCTCATATTGGCAACAAACTCGTTCCAGAGTTCCGGAGTCATATCCGACGGCCTAGCCATAGGGTCTAGAATATGGCAGGAGTGTGCGAAGTGACTAACCAGGCTCTGATTAGCAGTGAAACGTTGCTGGCAGGGAAGTAGCAGCCTTAGTAGTCTAGGAAAACGAGTATAGAGTGCTCTCTGGAGTTCTTTGGAAATTGCACTATGACTTTAACGAATTTCACACACAATTTTATATGGTGCATTCACAAATCGAGTCGCACTACCAAGTCGCGACACTCTGAATTTCTTATTGGTAACTCTACCCATTGAAATGAACCTTGCCGTGAAATTCAGAGATTGATTGCGATGCGGGATTGGTCGGCGAGTTTGATTACGGGGCTGTAACTTCGTCGGCGTGGTTGACGAAGTCGGCGAGGCGTCGGAACTTGGGTGCTCTGCGTTTCGTAATTTTCGCGCGAGGGTTTGAGTTGGGCTGCGCGTCAGGACTTGGTCGCCCAACTGCAGGTTGAGGCGCTTGACCAATCGGAGGTTTGGGTGAGGTGGCGGTTGACTTCCGCCCACCTGCACTGTACTTGGCAGCATTCGGCTGCCACACTGTTACATGGAGGGTTACATGGAAAGGATGGGATGGAAGGATGGAATGGGACGGGAAGGATGGAATGGGATGCAAAGGGCGGGATAGAGGGATGGGATGGAAGAAAAGGATGGAATGAAACGGAAAGGATGGGATGGAAAGATGGGATGGGATGGAAGGATGGGATGGGATGAAAATGATGGAATGGGAACGGAAAGGATGGGATGGAAGGATCAGATGGGATGGAACGATTGGATGATATGGAATGGAGGATTGTATGGAAAAGATGGGATGGGCCAGGATGGAAAGGTTGGAATGATATGGAAAGGATGATATGGAAAGGATCAGATGGGATGGGATGGAAGGGATGGAATGGAAAACATGGGTTGGGATGGATGGATGGGATGGGAAGGAGAGGAAGGGATGATATGGAAAGGGTGGAATGGGATGGAAAGGACGGGATGGGAAGGAGGATTAGATGATATGGAAAGGATGATATGGAATGGAAAGGATGGGATCGGATGGAAGTGTTGGGATGGGATGCGCCGCAAGGTATCGGATGAGAATGGACTGATGGAGGAAATGGGATGGGATGCAATGTGATGCGCCGCACTGACAGTCATGGGATGCGTGATGGCATGAGATGAGATGGTGAGAGCACGGAGCAGTGCTGCGCACTTTGATACCACGGTGGTATCTCCATGCATCCATCCATGCGCATCCCATGCATCCATCCATGCGCATCCCATGCATCCATCCATGCGCATCCCATGCATCCATCCATGCGCATCCCATGCATCCATCCATGCGCATCCCATGCATCCATCCATGTGCATCCCATGCATCCATCCATGCGCATCCCATGAATCCATCCATGCGCATCCCACGCATCCATCCATGCGTATCCCATGCGCATCCCATGCATCCATCCATGCGCATCCCATGCATCCATCCATGCGCATCCCATGCATCCATCCATGCGCATCCCATGCATCCATCCATGCGCATCCCATGCATCCATCCATGCGCATCCCATGGATCCATCCATGCGCATCCCATGCATCCATCCATGCGCATCCCATGCATCCATCCATGCGCATCCCATGCATCCATCCATGCGCATCCCATGCATCCATCCATGCGCATCCCATGCATCCATCCATGCGCATCCCATGCATCCATCCGTGCGCATCCCATGGATCGATGCGCATCCCATGCATCCATGTGCATTCCATGCATCCATGCGCATTCCATGCATCCATGCGCATCCCATGCATCCATGCGCACGCCGCGCATCCCATGGATCGGTCCGTACATCACACATGCCATGCATCCATGATCGCATCATGAACCCTCTGGTTCTTCCTCCCATGCTAAGCATCTGCTCTCTTCCCAAGTCTCCTCCTGCCTTGATAATCAGCCGGTCTCCCACTAGCAACTGCTCTCATTCTAAGTCTCCTGTTCTGCTATTCCTGATTCCCAGCTTCTTCAAGGGATCCATATTGCGGTCTGATGTGCTGTGTTTCTCCACCCCACCTCCCCTCCTGGTCCACTACTCACTCGTGTCTCCGTGTGTGCTGTGCTCCTCCCCTCCTCCCTTCTTCCCCTCCTCCCTTCTTCCCCTCCTCCCTTCTTCCCCTCCTCCCTTCTTCCTCTCCTCCCTTCGTCCCGTCGTCCCTCTCTTCCAACAGCACAAGCTCTGGCGGGCAGCGCGGGGGCATGGGGAGTGGCGCCTACTGGGTGGAGTGGAGGGGGGGACTGCAGCCAAGTGCAAGGGGTGACTTGTGACAGCAATGACACGGTGGTGGCAATGTGAGGCACGGTGGTGGCAATGTGAGGCACGGTGGTGGCAATATGAGGCACGGTGGTTGCAATGTGAGGCACGGAGGTGGCAATGTGAGGCACAGCGGTGGCAATGTGAGGCACGGTGGTGGCAATGTGAGGCACGGTGGTTGCTATGTGAGGCACGGTGGTGGCAATGCGAGGCACGGTGGTTGCAATGTGAGGCACGGCGGTGGCAATGTGAGGCACGGTGGTGGCAATGTGAGGCACGGCGGTGGCAATGTGAGGCACGGTGGTGGCAATGTGAGGCACGGTGGTGGCAATGTGAGGCACGGTGGTTGCAATGTGAGGCACGGTGGTGGCAATGTGAGGCACGGCGGTGGCAATGTGAGGCACGGTGGTGGCAATGTGAGGCACGGTGGTTGCAATGTGAGGCACGGTGGTGGCAATGTGAGGCACGGCGGTGGCAATGTGAGGCACGGTGGTAGCAATGTGAGGCACGGCGGTGGCAATGTGAGGCACGGTGGTGGAAATGTGAGGCACGGTGGTGGCAATGTGAGGCACGGTGGTGGCAATGTGAGGCACGGTGGTTGCAATGTGAGGCACGGTGGTGGCAATGTGAGGCACGATGGTGGCAATGTGAGGCACAGTGGTGGCAATGTGAGGCACGGCGGTGACAATTAGTAGTCACATGGCGACTTGCCATGGTCTGCTGTAGGACTCCATCCGTGGCTTTCCGGACCCCATCTCCATGTGCAAAGAACCCAGGGCGTGCGTAGTCATGTTTTCCTGTTGGCGTTTTGTCATGTTGTGTTCACCATGCTTCATGAAACGACTCTTTCTTGTTCGTTCATTAACACACAACACATGTGATGTTTGGTGTGATGCCATATGGGAATGGCACGTGCGGCATGGTTTGTTATGCCATGTCTTGGTTGGACATGTATCACATGAGCAGTGACCTGAGCAACACACTGTTGAATGGCAGCGTTCCCAGGGAGATTGGCAACCTCACCATCCTCACTCTCCTGTAAGCCTCACCACCCTCACTCTCCTGTAAGCCTCACCACCCTCACTCTCCTGTAAGCCTCACCACCCTCACTCTCCTGTAAGCCTCACCACCCTCACTCTTCTGTAAGCCTCACCACCAGCACTCTCTGCACCCTTGTGCGGACCTTTCATCCCACCCTAATAATGACCACTCACCTGCCGTCTAGAGTTTCAAAGCTGTTGCGCCCTGCCCCCCCTTCCATTTTCGTGTGTCCTCCCTCAATCCCCCTGCCCCTCTGCTCCATGCCCTGCGTTTTGTCCCAAAACAGCAACTTCGCGAATTGATGGCTCCATACCCTCCACATGCAGTGCCCTCACCTCCCTCTCTCTCCTGTAAGATCCCACTCCCTCCCTCCTCCATCAGCTCCCTACCTCTCTTCCTCCCTGCTTTCCTCTCTTCCCTTCCGCCGTCCTCTGTTTCATAGCCTCCCCTCTCCCATCTACCCGTCCCCCTCCCTCCCAGCCTTTCCTCTTGCGCTCTCCTCCTGCTCTCCGTGCCCCATCTCCCTCCATCTCCCTCCATCTCCCTCCATCCCCCTCTCACACCATCCCCCCCTCTCTTTCTCTGCCCTCTTTCTCTCGCTGTCTCATCCTTTCCTCCCCCGCGCTCCTCTCTTCCTTCCTTCTCCAGCGATCTGAGTCACAACAACATATGGGGCACAACGCCGTCGTTTCTCAGCCTGCTGACGCAGCTCAGGCGCCTGTGAGTCAGCGGCCTGGGAGGCTTGAGAGTTGGAAGCTTGAGAGACACGAGGAGGCTTGAGAGGCTCGAGAGTTGGATTGGAAGCACGATAGATCTGAGAGGCTTGAGACTTTGTGAATCGAGAAAGTGCGGAATGTCAGGAGTTTGAGAGAGGTTCTGAGGGAAACAGGCTTTTTGTGAGCATGGCAAGGTTGGATAGCAGGCTGACCTTTGAGTCGATTTAAAAGTCGACACAAAGGTGGATGGGCAGGGCAAAACGTGTGTGAGCGCTTGAGGGCGTGTGAGAGCCTTGGCCGTTGGTGGAGAGAAACACACAGAATGAGATGAGATGCCTCGAATGCCTTGCTTTTGGGAACCATGCCTTTACTTCCACCCTCTGTTCCATCCCCGGCATGCCTTTCCCCCTACAGTTCACGGCCAGACCACACACATAGCTAGAGATGAGCATATTGGCGAACACCTGTTCGGTTCGTCTCGACCGAACGGGATTTTTTTTGGGCTAAAAGTGTTCGTTACGAACATGTTCGACGTTCGCGCGAACATGTTCGCTGTTCGCGCGCCGAGATGGGCCGAGGCGCGTCGAACACGAACATGTTCGAGTTCGAAACGCACGTCGACGAACACCTAAAATGTTCGTCGACGAAATTGCCACGACCAATTTTAGGGTCTCGGCCATACCGATTGCGGCTCTTTTTTTTTAGCATGTCCACCATGGCGCTCCTAACAGCCCGCCCACCCCACAACCACTTATCACACCCACACCTTCTAGGACTAGCATAGGCCCTCAAGTCGTTGAAGTATGGCGTTTTGGCATTATAGTGATGTAATAGTTCAATACTAAGGACGTAGCATATCATCCATAGTGCCAGATTCGTATCTAGCATCACATTAGGGTTTGCACTACCGTTGAACTAGTCTCCTCTCCACCGTTAGCTTTAAGATCATAGTGACAATCTCCTTCATAAACATTGCAGCAGGCCGCATTACAGTTGTAGCTAGGGTTTAGGTTTATGCGGCGGTGGCGGAAATGTCCTCTCCTAAACAAGTTAGTACAGGGCGGGCCGGACGCGGCGGTAGTCAGGCCGGCGCGCCCTCGTCTGCACCACGACCAATGCAGGCTCGACCTGGTGACGGCCCGGGAGGAGTTGGTGCGTGTTTCGTCGGTGGGCTTCTGGCCATGCCCGTGCCGTCATCCCGGGTGTCGTACCGTTATAGTGGTCAACGGCCCTGTCCTTCTGAGCAGACGCGCAACACCACTCAGACCGACAATGCGGCGGCGGCGGAGGAGGAGGAGGACGAGGAGGAGGGGGAGGAGGGGGAGGGGGAGGAGGAGAACTCGGAGGGTAGCGGTGACGATAGTGAGCCGGGGTGGACACCCGAGACTCATGGCGGTGGTGGTGCGGACGGGGAAGGAGATGAGGATGAGGAGATGGAAGGGTTGGAGCCAGAGGGGGTAGAGGAGGGGGTTGGTGAGGGAGGAGGGGTTGCCGCGGCTACTGCAGAGGAGGCATCTTAGCACGTGGGCGGAGGACGGCCGCGCGGAGGTGTTAAGGTTGGGCAAAAGAGGCCATTGATTGGGACCAGGAAGAAGAAAGCCGAGAAGGAGAGGACACGGACGTATCCTTGCACCTTCAAAGGGGTGGATCTGGGCGAGGGTGTGGTTGCTCCAGAGTTCCTCGACGATGATGGACAGCCCGAGAGTAGCCAGGGGAGTGGCAAGGGGGGGCGGAGGAAGCGGGGGTGGCAAGTACATATGTTTGGGTCCAAGGGGACAGATGACAAGCGGCAATGCAAGATTTGTACCGATCGCATTTCTTGGCGGGGATCTACAACCACCCCAGGCGAGCGCCACTTTGAGAGCTTCCACACTGCTCACATGGATGTGTGGTATCATCGTTACCACAACCCACATCTGCAGCTGCCGGGCGAGACGTTCCCGAGGGGGGGCTAAGTGGGAGTGCCGGACGGCTACGTATACTATTGGCCGCCTGCAGAAAAGTGGCCAAACATCAGGGACTAACCCTGTGCAACCAACACTGCGGGGACAAGAACTTCATGCCGTCGCGATGGACGGTGGCACGCGACACTGTGGCGTTTGCGGCGGCCGCTCTGTCGGCGGCCAAGGCGGAGCTGCAGGGGAAGGAGGGGGAGTTGGGGTGCAAGGTGTCAATGACCATTGACATCTGGACTGCACCCAATGGGAAGGCGTGGCTAGTAGTGACTGGTAACCAGATAGACGAATCTTTCCAGCTGCGCGAGGCAGTGCTCGAGTTTCGCGAACTGACTGGTCGTCATGGAGCAGTGCAGATCGCACAGGTCGTGGAGGACACGGTGGTGAAGTGGGGGTTGGAGAGGCGTTGTATGGGCCTCACCTCAGACAACGCCTGGGCCAACATTGCCGCGTTTCGGAGGCTGTCGGAGGAGGGTGGTGTTCGACGCTTCTTTAACACTCGCCTGCACTTCAGGTATGAGTGTTGTGTATGGGGGTGATTTGGGGGGGGGGGGTGGGGGGGGGTTGTGAGGGTCGGCATTGTGGGTGCGTGTGGCCGTATCTGGGGTGTTTGGATTCCCCACCGGCACCCAAAGACTTTGTGTCACAACATCCCAAAACCCATGCCAATCTCGATGTGATTGGCAGGTGCATATCATATGTGGTCAATCTGGCAGTGCAGGCAGGATTGAAGGTCAATGCCGTTCGCCTCCTGCTGAAGGTGCTCAGGGACATGGCGTCGTGGGTTGGGTTCTCGCCACAGCGTTCGGCAACCTTCCTTGGATTGCAGCGCAGCTTGAACATGCAGGCCCGTGTAAAAAAACCAGCCTTGAAGCTGGTGCAGGATAGCCCCACTTGCTGGGGCTCGACGCACGCCATGATCGACCGCTACCTTGAGCTGCAGCATCTGATCACAGTGTTTCTGGCCTCGACTCAGGTATGTGGTGAGATCGGATCAGGACAAATGGCATGTGTGTGGCATGTGTTAGGCACGTGTGAGGCATGCGTTAGGCATGCGTGTGGCATGTGTGTGGCATGTGTGAGGCATGTATATGGCATGTGTGCGGCATGTGTTAGGCATGTGAGAGGCATGTGTTAGGCATGTGTGTGGCATGTGTGAGGCATGACAAATGGCATGTGTGCGGCATGTGTGTGGCTTGTGTGCGACATGTGTTAGACATGTGTGCGACATGTGTTTCGCATGTGTGCAACATGTGTGGCATGTGATTTGTGTGTTGTGCAACTGGTTTCGTGATGTGCGAGACATGTTTATAACAACCATGCTCTTCTTATGCCCCGGCCCACCACGCCCTACCCGAAGCAGGGCCTGTTGAAGACCGACAAGGATAAGGTCGAGAAAATGCGCCTGTCTGATGAGCAGTGGGACATGTTGAAGGAGCTAAGAACATTTCTTAGCCCCTTCAACAAGGTCTCCAAGGCAGCCGAGGGGACGGCGTACCCGAAGCTGTCGATGGTGGTGCCGTACTACAACAGCCTCATCGACGCCATGGAGGCCCGACTGGCAAAGGGGCCCTCTGCGCTGTTGAAGCCGCTGGTCGAGAAGGCTCTACGAATCCTGAAGAAGTATTAGTACATCAGCAGCCACGAGGGCTGGATCGCCACCTTCCTGGATCCTTCCATGAAGGCGGCGTGGTTTGACGACCCCCACTGGGAGACGCAGCATCCACAGACGGTGCTGAGGGAGAGGCCGCGCCCGCCATCGAGCGTGGTGATCGCGTTGGTACGCGATCGGGTGGCCGAGTACCAGGCAGCGGCGAGGGAGCTGGCTCCTAGGCCCACCACACTTCCCACGGTGGTCGAGGAGGAGGGAGAGCAGGGGGGGGAGGACGAGGACGACCTCTATCTCCCTAGTCGCCGACGCCTTGCGGCGCGTCTGTATGCGAGCCAGGCGGCAGGGGGGGGTGGTCTTGTGCAGGACGACGAGGTCAGCAGGTACTTGTCAGAGAGGGTGCAGTACGACGTCTCTACGCTAGACTAATGGCGCACTTCCACGAACATGGAGATGCTGAAGCAGATGGCGAGGGACTATCTCGCCATCCCTGCCACGTCTGCTGCGAGTGAGCGGGTGTTCTCATTGGGCCGCAACCTCATTTCGTGGAAGTGTCACCGCCTGAACACCGAGAGGTCGCGAGCCTGCATGATTCTCCGCTCCTGGTATGGATCGCACCCTGGAGAGAGGATCGGCGAGGGCGGCTGCCTGAAGGGGGCCGTAGCACTAGAGATTGCTATTGAGGGCGAGGGTGCGGAGAAGTAGGAGGAGGAGGAGGAGGAGGAGGAGGAGGAGGAGGAGGAGGAGGAGGAGGAGGAGGAGGAGGAGGAGGAGGAGGAGTTGGGGGATGAGGTGGAGGTGGAGAAGGCGCCTGAGGTGGAAGTGGCGGAGGAGGCGGGTAAGGGGAGAGGGGTGGACGCAGCAGCGGGTGGAGGAGAGGGTGTTGTTGGTAGCGAGGGTGGGTCAGGGATGTAGTTGTGGGTTATCGGGCGCTCGAGCGGCGCGTTGGTGACGTTGGGATGTTGAGTTGTGTTGGGTAGACTTCGAATGTGGATTTGTTCTTTGCTACTAGTTGGCCAGGCTTATATAAGTAATTACAGATACTGAGAACACTCTATAATCCCATATATAATGATGCATTGGCATTGGCAGTGTTTAAATCTAGAGTCTTGTCCCCTCCCTCTAGGGCGAACACGAACATGTTCTGGACGAACGTGCTCGTGTTCGCCAAAACTTAAGAAATGTTTGCCTGTATTGGCGAACTTCGAACACCCTTTCTGCTGGAAAGTGTTCGGCGAACCGAACAGTGTTTGGTTCGCCGAACGGCTATGTTCGACCCCAGGCGAACACGAACATGTTCGTGTTCGCCATATGCTCCTCCCTACACATAGCCCACACACATGGCACACACACATGGCACACACACATGGCACACACACATGGCACACACACATAGCCCACACACATGGCACACACATATGGCACACACACATGGCCCACACACATGGCCCACACACATAGCCCACACACATGGCACACACACATGGCCCACACACATGGTACACACACATGGCCCACACACATGGCACACACACATGGCCCACACACATGGCACACACACATGGCCCACACACATGGCACACACACATGGCCCACACACATGGCACACACACATGGCCCACACACATGGCCCACACACATGGCACACACACATGGCACACACACATGGCACACACACATGGCACACACACATGGCACACACACATGGCACAAACACATGGCACACACACATGGCACACACACATGGTCCACACACATGCATGCCCTGTCCCATGCCTTGCGCCTGTGCCCGTCCCATGCCCTGCCCCTGTGGCCTCGCCCCGTGCCCCCATGCCCCGTTTACATATCTTGCTCACGTGGCCTACCAGTGACCTGATTGACAGCTCATTGAACGGATAAGTCCCAAGATGACTGTCAACTCAACTCAAAGCCATCTCTCCCCTCTCCGTGCCCTCAGGCCTTCATAACCTGCTCTGCTTCCTTGCGCCCTCCCTTCACTCCCTGCCAGGGATCTGAGCGACAGCACCTTGCACGGATCCATCCCGGGCGGCCTTTGGGTGCTCCCCGAGCTGCGTCAGCTGTGAGAATCAAAACGCCCATGCTTGTGAGGCAGGGTCCCTGTTCTGACACGCCTAAAATATTTGAGGCGTATCGAATCCCGGGCGGCCTTTGGATGCTCTTTGAACTGCGGCACCTGTGAGACCACGACACCTGTGAGACCACAACACCTGTGAGACCATGACACCTGTGAGACTACGACACCTGTGAGACCACGACACTTGTGAGACCACGACACCTGTGAGACCACGACACCTGTAAGACCACGACACCTGTGAGACCACTAGACCTGTGAGACCACGACACCTGTGAGACTGAAAATGCGCATGCTCGTGACACAGAACCCTGGCCGATTGTTGATGCACCTATGAGATCCCGGCCGTGGGTTCGAGTGCTTTCTCACCTGCATTCCTAGTGACAGGGGGGGGGGGGCGTTCGTTCATAGCCTCCGTCTGGGACCTCCCTCGATGCGCAACTTCAGTGACATGCTAACTTTCTCTTCATTTGACATTTCAAAGCTTCCCAAAGTGCCTCTGTAAAGTGATCAAGTGCTTCCCTTGCCTCCCTCCCTTTTTTCCTCCGACAGAGATCTCTCGTCCAACCACATCAACTCAACCGTCCCAGCGTCTTTGGGCGGACTCAAGTCGCTCACCGCCCTGTAAGCCGCCGCTCTCTCAACCTGTTCACTCGGAAAGGCATCCTCACACACCACTGCGAGCTCCGCTCAAGAATGATTTGTTATGCCCACACGGCTGGCAGGGTTGATCGAATGGCCGTTGAAGATACATTTTGTCAAGAAAGAAAGAGAGTGCAGCATGCGTGATCATGACGAGGAGGCTTTTGGCAGCAGCGAAGGCAGCTTTGCTTCAACCTGCCGAAGCCATTCCTGCTGAGCTGCTGCTGCTTCACTGAGATTGACAACCATATCAGAGGCACTATCTATTGTTCCTTTCTCTACTCATCTCAAAACCCCATGCACGTTGCTGTGCCTGTTTATTTCCCTAACATTCAGTGACCTGAGCAACAACAGCTTGACTGGCAGCATCCCATGGAGCCTTGGCTTTCTCACGAGGCTCGAGTCGATGTACGAGGTGGTCAAAGCATGAGGTGTACTTTTCTCTGAAGGAAAGAACCAGCCAAGGTTCGAAGCTAGTTGCACACTGCCGTTTCATTTGTGTTCTGAGCTGAAAGAATCCTTACAGACAGCAGCGGCATACTCCTGTCATGTCAGCCCTATTTGGTCTGCCACCACACCAACCCATAATGTCATTAGACTGACAAACCTTTGCATTTCTGACTCAAATTTTCTGTTTCCCTGCCGAATCACTTCCACTTCGTAATTGCGCAGAAACATATCTTCCTCGCTTCCATCCTGTCTACCTCCTTAGCCCCCCCACCCCACCCCCCTCCGCCCCACCTCCCTCATCCCCCCTCTCCTCATTCCGCTCCCCCCACCTTCTCTGCCCGTGTTACCGAAGAAATCTTTCCATGAAGAACATTTCATCCTCCATTCCCCCTCCCCATCACCCCACCTTCTCCGCCCCTCTCCTCCCTGCGTACATGACAGCAACTTGTCCAAGAATGGCATTTCATCCTCCATCCCCCCTCCCCACTACCCCTCTCTCTCCGCCCCTCTCCACATCCTACATGACAGGAACTTGTCCAAGAACAGCTTGTCGGCCTCCATCCCATCATCTCTCGGACTCTTGACTCGCCTCGCAACCCTGTAAGTGCGCCTGCGGTGTGTTTCCGATTTAAGAGTAAGAGGAAGATGGGAGGCAGGTAGAAGGAAGGTGCATGGAAAGTACTAGTAAGGTGAGTAATTTACAGCCATACTATAGCTCACTCACTCACAAGCACATTGGTGGAGTGGCGTTCTTTGGCGTGGCATCTGATGAGGCAAAAGGCAGCCATACTGTATAACCAATCTTCTTAGCTCTTTGCACTCCAATGAGACAAGATAGAAACAAGTCACGCAGTCCTGAGACGGCAGACGGAGGCAGAAAGGCAGTCATCCAACCCTCTATTCTTCCCGCCTCCCTTCCTCTCTGTCTGCCCTTCTCTCTCCCCAATATCCTTCTCTTGTTTCTCTCCCCCTCCTGCGCACAGCAACCTATCAAGCTGCTCTCTCAACGGCATGGTTCCGGGCATGCTGAGCTATCTCACTCGCCTGCACACCCTGTGAGTCTCACTCTCCTGCACACCCTGTGAGTCTCACTCTCCTGCACACCCTGTGAGTCTCACTCGGCCGTGCACCCCTTGATCAGACTCACACAGAGCGTTTACTAAGCCGGATTCTCCATTTCTTGTGTCTGCGGGTGGGCAGCGACCTGAGCTCCAACGCCCTGAATGGCTTGCTGCCCCGCCTGCGGAAATATAGCCTCCTCACCCACCTGTACGTGAGGCAAACCACCCTTGCCATCTGTACGCAAGGCACATCGCTTATGCCACCTTCTAGTACCACACACACACGTGCCATCTGCATACCATCCGCGCCATCGGCCAGCACCGCACACATACCTTGCCATTCTTTAGTGGTGCGGCCTGTTTACACCTTGATCATATCTTCCTGCTGGATTTGGGAGGCTCGAATCCCCATGTCTTGCTCTTTTGACCAAGACTATGAGCCTTATCAACAGTCTCAATAGAGTCGCTCGCCCTCTATTCCCTTCCCTGCGGTCCATCTTTCTTCTCGGGCCACACCCCATGGGTCAGGACGGTAATGCCCCATCCCCATTGCCCATGGCGGTCATGGCCCCCATCCCCAACCTCCATCCGCCATACCCCATCCATCCCCCATACCCCATCTATCCCCCATCCCCCATCCATCCCCGATCTCCCCTCCACAGCGACCTCAGTGCCAATGCCTTCCAAGGCACTCTCTCTCAAGGGCTGGGGAAACTTCAGCAGCTGCAGCACCTGTGAGCGCCCTCACATTTTCCCTTCCCCTTCTTCTGCTCGAGTGACCCAGCCAATGCTTTCTGCTATGTTCAAATGAACCGGGAAGACTGCTGAGCACAGTAGGAACTCAGCTGTATCTAGGAAATTCGAGGAAAAATCTTAATGTTGTTGATTGATTGGTAAAATGGAATCTTAAACATCAAGCAAGTGTAAACCTACCTTCAGAAATGCCAATACAAGATTAATAATAGCACAGGCAAGAATAACATCCTGATTACAATACCAGCCTATTCCCATGTTTCGTTTGTACCCCCTTATTCACCACACACACTGTCACCTCCTTCGTCTCCCCGAACTTCACCGTGGTCCACAACCCGGTGCTGGTCTCTCCAGTCCTCTCCCTCTCAACTGAAGCCCCTCTATCCTCCCCCCCTTCCACCTGCAGTGACCTGAGCAGAAACCAGCTGAATGGCACTCTGCCTGAGGGCCTCGGCAGAAGCTCCCTCCTTTGCCACCTGTCAGTGCGCCCACCATTTCCAGCACACCCAACCCAACACACCCGCCACCCACATCACCCACCCTTCCCTTGTGCCCTCAACTCCAGGAGTTGTGGTAGTGAAATCACTCCGTTCCACGCTTCCTTGTGCCACAACTTGCACAACCTCTCACCCTCTTGCGTGCCTTGCAGTGATCTCAGCGCCAACTCTCTCAACGGCACTCTGCCCCAGGGACTGCAACAACTCACAGCTCTCACTTATCTGTAACCACCAACGGCTTCTCAATACCCCTCTTACTTGGGAGCGTCCACCTTAGGTGCCCCGGACCCAGGTGTTCCGGGCCTGGGTGCGCCAGGCCTGGGTGCGCCAGGCCTGGGTGCCCCGGGCCCGGGTGTTCTGGGCCTAGGTGCGCCGGGCCTGGGTGCGGCGGGCAGGTCTGGGTGCACCAGTTACCCTCCTGCCCCTTCCTTCCACTCCTCATTCTCATTTCTTCCTAGCCACCAACGGCTTCTCAATGCCCCTCTTACTTGGGAGCGTCCACCTTAGGTGCCCCGGGCCCGGGTGTTCCGGGCCTGGGTGCGCCAGGCCTGGGTGTGCTGAGTTACAAGAGAGAGCACAGCTGCAGAGTGTGTTACAATTTGGCATCTAGAGCTATATTCCCAAGCTAGCTCTCATTTCAGCCTTCCTATCTCTTCCCTTCTCCTCTTCTCCCTTCTCTCGGCCCTTTCTATCCGCTCGTAGCCTTCCATCTTCTCCAGCTCTTTACCTCTCATACCCTTCCCTTTCCTCGCCCCCTTTTGCTCCCATCATACAGGTGACTGTAGAGATCTCTAGTGGCAGCGTCAGCTCCATAATAGACCCCCAAATGGTCTCTCCTGCTGCATCTGGCGTCAGCACAACGCATGCTGAACTCATGCAGAGCCCGGTGTCCCTAGCCGTGGAATGCACTGCCATGCCAGCTGCCACGCGCCCCTCTATGGCCAAAGTGCTGTCACAGCTGAAACAGTTGCACGAGGAGGTGGTGAGGCGGGAGAGGGAGAGTGGGTGGGAGCAAGGGAGTGGGTTGGGAAGACTGGGAACAGGGAGAGCAAGCTGGTTGGTGACGGAGAAGAGTGACACCCCTGCAACTGAGACGACGGTGGGGAATGTGAGTGCGGTGACGGGAGAGAGGAATGCGATAGGCAGTTATCATGGGAATGAGAGCTCGAGTGCTGGTAGGGGGACAAGTGGGGAGGCCAGTAGGAGTGTGAATGGTTACTAGAATTGAATAAATTTACATTTTTCAAGCATGTCACATTCCAAAACATATGTATTCTGAAAGCGCACCTGAAGTGCAAGGCAGCAGCAAGGCAATCTTGAAAAGAGAAAAGCGCTTTGAGTATGTACTAAGGTCTGGCCGCTGGACGTTACGAGTAGCTGTCATCCACTAACATCTTCATTTTAGATCTTTGTACCGTCATCGCTGATAGTAGATACATAGTGTCGAATTGTAGACATGGTGTCTTTGATACGGGCTTTTCCTTATAAATGATACTATATTATAAGTACAAGATAAAACTTATATGTCTTATCAAGGAAACATGACAATACCCTGTTGAAAACAAACATAGCGCGTACATTTTCGCCAGTGCGCGCAGAAATTCATTTACGCGATGAGTCAGGTGATGACACAGATACTTCTTAATCTGATTTGCATGATGCGTCAGCAAATCTTCCTCTTGACGCACCATCTCTAACCTTGTTCGGGTGTCCCAATATTGGTTGATGCGTTTCATGGAAGATTATGCAGTAGGTAGAGAGATTTTTTGTTTATCTTGAGTTACTTATTTATAAGAGTTATAAGATCCCTATTCCTCCCCTTTATAAGATATACATCCACTTTTACAAGCTGTATCAGATAAGACACATATGCCTTCTATCCGGGCAATAACGGTAGTCCCACTTCCCCTCAACCTCAACCCACCGCTAGTTGATCTGAACGTTTTGTGCACATTACGTTTTTGGGTTGCGAGGCAACCTATTACAATCGTTATGTACATTTGTTTGTTTCTTTGTTCATCTGATCTGTAAGACTTCAATTTTATGCCCAAGTGATCACTAGGACAAAGGTTTTTACTTCAGATGAAATTTCAGACAGCACGCTATTCTTCCTCTGAGTTTTCAGATAACGAGTATGATTCCATATGAAACCGACATTTCTGGTCACTAGGCCCTAGTCCCCACCCATCCCACACCTCCCTTGCAAAGTCTCTCGCTCGCTCCTCTGCCATACCAGCCCAGCCCTTCCCACCACACCCCCTACACACCACACACCAAGTCCCTTACATTGCATCTCCTAGCACAGCCCCCTCCCCCTCAATCCCTCCAGGTCCCTTGTGATTCACAAACTGCCACGGTCCCCCATGCATGCAGACCAACTTTCCCGCATGCCCTTTCGCCGCCCAACTGCCATGAATGTCTACTAATGTAACGGCCGTCAGCGATGCTGCCATTGGTGTATCAATACTTTGTTAAATCTCACTCGAGCTATGGTCAAATAGTGTATTCGGCCCAATCAGACAATGAAAAAGAGTTCGTCTGAAATTTCAGACACACCCTCAACACCCGTCTCAAAATTCAGATGAAAAAAAATAGCCAGTCTGAACGTCGACGAAACGATTTTTTCTATCAGTGTTTCCTGACGGGCCTAGATCCTAGCAAGAGCCCTGCCCCTGCCTAGCATGGGGGGGAAATCAATAGCCTAGCATTTAAGTCATACAACCATCACATGAATACAACAAAATCTTTGTATCCTAAAAAAATGATTAGTTCCATCAAATCCCGTTCAAGTGAACGCACTCACTGAGTGGGAAAAGAACGTTCTCGGAAATGATAGGTTGATCAAGTTTTTAAGACCCACAGACATGCATTGCTTCTGCAATGGATGAATAAGTATAGATGAAGCGTGTTTGCACCACGAAGTGCCTGTGCACTCACAGAGACGCACGCACCCATAAAGACACACACACGCAGTCAAACGCATGCACGACGACATACCAGGCAAAAACCCACGATAACTTCATCACAAAAATGTGTGTGTCTGGAAATCATTCGACCATAATTTGTTTTGGCAAGATTTTCAAAAACGTTTGACAGTCATTCTGTAATCATCTAACTATTATTTGTACAGCCTTTTTGTCGCACCATATGTTATACTGATGTTTTAGTAATGGTTTTCCAATGTTTCAGTGGTTTGTATGTCAGATAATGCTTCTCTAAACAGTAATAAAGGTTGCATAAATGTGTATATCACAATAAATCTATTATATGTTTATCGACGTATTTGCAAATTACCAGATGAATCTATTGAGGAGCTTCACATCGGGGTCCTTGCAGCACGGGACAATATGCACGATGCTAAGAATGCAATCTGCATCAACGACTGCATAGTTGTAGGTCCCCATCGTGTGCAACAGTCATTTGTAGCCAGTGTACCGGCAGACACGCCGATCCTCCGTGTAGTACTAAATGTAGGCGGCCTTCTTTGTTACGCCATCTATTCGTAATGGAACAGCATCAAGCAATGGCCGTACCAGTTGGCCCTTTTGCCAGCTGTGTTTATGGCTACATCTGAAAAGTGTTTTTCAAAAGGGCTTGCTTTGACAAACTGCCCCTTCTCGATCCATTCCATCCTGTCGTGAGGTGGGATTTCCATGGCAGTGTGCACCTGCATATAGGCAAGCATGGAATCCAGCACAACAATGGAAGGTTGTGTTAGGGTTTCCAGGGATGGGGTGCTGACGCGTGCATTGATACATCAGGTTGTCATGCCTGTGTTTGGCCCATTACAACTGGTCTAAGGCTGCCCGCGTTTAACATGACCCCATGGGAGTGGCATGATTGCGTAGTAGTGAGCACTGTATTGATTCTCACATTGAGCACTTGGTCGCCGATTCCCTCCATGGCTAGCCGCTTCTTCAAGCGGCCCATCACTGCATCTCCGTGAACAAGGACGTAGCTCCTGAACACATCATCGGTGATGTGCCCCACGGTTATCTCCTTGTGTGACTTAGTCAGCACCCGTCGCTCAGGCGTGCAAGCCTGGGTGGGAGGGTGATGGATGCATGGTTTACAAGGGGGGCACCAGAGTTTAGGCAACACTTCAGTACAATGGGGGTAGCAGTAACTGTTAGAGACTAAGGACGGAAGTCTACTAAGATTAGGTGCCGAAATATCTCAAAATCGTTGGTATTAAACTCTGGACAGAAATGTCGGCTTCACAAGAAACGTCGTCGACGAAAATTGCACCGTTGAATCTTCACCAAACTCAATCACGAGAGTCTCACAAGTTCACACAAGAGAATTGGAATAGCTAAAAACCAGGTAGGAGGAGATGAGGAGGACGAGAGGGAAGGTCCCAAGAGAGTCCCCAACCAAGGAAACCCCATGACACACAATTCCCCTCTCTCTAGGCAACCCCAACTTTGACCTTCGTCACTTTCCCAACCTTCACAATCCACCTCACCAAAGTTGGCCACACTTGCCAACCTGGTTTGGCTTCTCCCAACCACTTGGCAGCATCCACAGTGATGTTGACGAATCTCCCAACCCCCAAAAGTCTATACCCCTTATGGAGTCAACCCAACAACTTCCCATAGTCACCGCAACCAAATGTCAAAAGCATACGAACTTCTAACGTTCGTAACTTTCTTGTTCGTGCTCCGATTGAAGCAATACTTGGCTCGTCGGAAAGCTCTTGAGCAGAGGAGTCAATTCAGATATCTGCTCAAACCAAATGACATTCACACACACTCAGAAAATCCAAACCACACCAAATACAAATTCTTGCACACGTTCACACCACGCATGCAACGCACGAACATGTGATGGGAGGCAGACAGACGTGAATGCAAATGATAGCATCGCATAAGAAACTCCCCCACTAGCTGCCTACCATCATCCCACATGCCATAGCTCAATCATGCACCCTCAATGCACACTCATCCCAGCAAGCTTCACGCCCTTCCAATGCTCAGATTCAACCAGGCGCTTGGTGAGAATGTCAGCCGCCTGCTGATGGGTCTTCACAACCTCCAGCCGCACCTCCTTGCCCAGGAGTCTTCTCACCCAGTGCCACTTGGGCCTGATGTGCTTTGTCAGCCCATGAAGGCAGGCGTTCTTGGCAAGCTTCACTGCCGACTCATTGTCACAGAACATCAAAGTCGGCTCCCCCTGACCAACTCCAATCTCCTCCAACAAACGCCTCAGCCACACTACCTCCTTTGCCCCATGATGCAGGGCCATGTACTCTGTCTCACACGAGGACTGCCCCACCTCGTTCTGCTTCTCGCTGCGCCAGCTCATTGCACCACCTCCAAACACGCACACATAGCCTCCAATGCTGGTGCCACCTGCCTTCACAGAGTTGAAGCTAGCGTCAGTGTAGCAAGTCATGAGCATCTCCCCCTTGCTCAAATCAGATGCACACCTCTGCAGCCTCTGTCTCACAGCACTGTACTCCAAACCCACTGTCGTTGCACTCACATAGCGGGCCAACCTCTTAGCCGCTTCTAGCTGCTCATGATTGGGGCGTGAGACCACACTGGCAAGCCTAGATGTTGCAAAGGCAATGTCAGGCCGCATGTGGTTAGCCGCATAGTTGAGAGCCCCAACCATGGAATGAAACAGCTTCCTCTGACTCTCAACCACCACCTCCTCATCAGTACAGAGCTCCATTGTGAACCCTGAAGGCAGTGGGGTGGCTGGCTTTCCTCCATCTTGCAGCCCATACTTCTCAGCCAGCCCCTCACAGTACTTCCTCTGGTGCAACCTCAACACTCCCTTGTCAAGGTCTCTCTCCACATGCATCCCAACGCAATACTTCACATCTCCAATCTTGGAACACTTGAACTGCATCTCCAGCATCTCCTCCACACGCTCAATCATTGCAGACAACTCAAAGAAAAGCAGGATGTTGTCCACATACACCAGGAGCATGAGAGACTACTCCTCTTGCAGCAGGAGCAGGCTGTGGTCACACTCACTCTTCTTGAACCCCCCAGCCAGCAGTGTCTCCTCTAGCTTGTGGCACCATGCGCGAGGAGCCTGCTTCAGGCCATAGATGGCCTTCTCCAGCCTGCACACCCTGCCGCTGCCATCATCCAACCCCTGAGGCTGCAGCATGTACAGCTCCTCCATAATGATCCCGTTGAGGAAGGCAGTTATGATGTCCATCTGCTTGATCCTCCATACACGGTTTGTAGCCATTGAAAGCATCACCCT